TTTGCATTTGAGATCCAATAAGGAGGTTTTGTTATTTTTAAATGATCATTACCATCGGACAATGAAATTAGAAGCTAGCGTTCAGTCGATTGGTGTAAGGCATTAAGGCCAGTCTAGACTTGAATTTTCATTGTCAGTTTTCAATCATCATGTCCGAAACGCTGCTGAGTATGTTCGTTTGTAAGAGAAAGGTGTGTAGCTTATAATTGTTATATTGCCTCGTGCCTCGGAACCCCCATGACGACAACGACATAGGGACAAATGGGGCTGATAGCACCCAATTTACTTTTTTCTTTGACAGATCCAAAAAATTAGAAATTTCCATTCCAAGGGGAGTTTTGATATTTCAAAATATGGAAGTGTGGCCACACTAGGAAGACTCTACGGTAGTCTGGTTTTAGAAAAAGAAACAACTACTGCAAAATTACTGTAAATACCTATCCGTGCACCAAGCAAACTCATTTAAGTTACATTATCATCTGTGTTGCCGCAATAAGAAACGTTCCGTCCAATACTAGTTCAACTTGATCACAACGTCAAGACACGATACAACAATCCCGGAAACTGGTAACTTCATGTTCACACTAAATAGATATGATTGACAAACCAAAAGGGTTTCAAATTTTTCTTTTATTTTGCATCGATATTTAATCTGAAAAGAATCAACTTGTAGGAATTATTTGCTGCGCGTTTGGTATTAACGTCTCAAGATCAATCTTCTCGATCTGAATCATTCGGTTATTGCATCTAGATGTAGGGGAGGCAAATCTGAACCGTTCCTTAATTCTGCTCAGACCAGTCGTACGTAAATCTGTCTCCTCGGAGTATTTAGACCGACCGACGAGGGAGATTAATCTATGATTGTGAGGTTATCTCGTAGTCTCGAAGTGTCAACGTAGTGCTTATTTTTTTATACCAATATTCGATTTTCTGTACCTAATCAGGCGCTTGATTGAAATTGAGTTTCTTCATTGCCGTGTGTCCAATTCAATCTTCTGAATTTTCGCTGCTCACATCATGAAGCTTTTATAAAAATCTTCAAAAGTTGTTGAAACGATTCCAAAGTTCTTCTTGAACTGCATTAACCGTTGCAGAAGGACCAGTTTCTTCTTCTCGTCGTCGCCATCATTATCAAAAATAATTTTTGATGACCATGAATAGCTCAAAATTGCCACAGTGATAGACATAGCCGTAGCCAATGAAAAAGAAACACTTCAAAACATCAAAAGAACGAAAAACAACAAGCAAAAAGTGAGGTTAGAAGTTTGTTTATTTGGTCGGACCGATCCGTGATCACGTGATCGTAAATCTGTCGCCTCTGCGATGCAAAACCGAACTCAGCTTTTGTCACTTCAACCGTAAAGAATAGGTAACCTTGGCATATCCTGCTCACTGACGGCAACATAGGGAAACTTTTTGTTTATGATGTTCCATGTTTACCAAAAATATTTACCGATTTTCTGCTCTTTATCCTCTGGTTTTTTTTCTTTATAAACTAAGTTTTTCGTTTGTTTGTGTTATTGTTTTGGCCTGTTAATTTATGGTGTCTACGATTTGTTTCAATAAAAGTTGATTTTTCTACACATAGCGACTTCAAACAATTTGGACTACTAACGAAATGTTGCCCTTTTTGAGCGAATTTATCTTAGTAACCACCAAATATAGGTAGGTATAGCTATTTATCTATTACTTCTATATCCCATAGTGAATTGCAGTGTCAAAACATTTCGAAATACTCTGATAGGTAACCTGATAACATTCGAACAGTTTGAGATATAAAGTTCAAATGTAGTATAACTATTTACCTAAAAAAGAAGCTTTGGGCGGGATTTGAGCGAAATTTCTCCAAGAGTGCGGGAAGCTGCCATCTTGAAAATAGTTTTTGAATTTCAAAAGTTGTTGAGTGATAGCAAATTCTAGTTATAGGTACCTACCTTATTTCGGAAGGTTTTCATTAAGTATATCCATTAGGAAGCTTTAAGCTGCTGTCAATTTCCCGAACAAAATGGCGGCTAGTCAAAACGTTGGAAAAGTTTGGAAAAATACGAAATTGCGACTAATCTACCACCAGGAATATTAGTATTACTTTTCTAGATTGGAATGCTAGCAAAAGAAATATTATTGGCGCGTAGTTCGGAAACCATTACACTTCTATCAATACCTATGATTTTTGGCAAGGAGCATTACTTGTTTCAAAGATGCTGAAAATTTATCTGTGAGGGATAATATCGACATTATAAATGAAGCTGAAAATCGTTTGAAAATTGTGATCGTGGAGACAGCTAAATAAATTAAACAGAAATCAAAAAAGCTATTAATATGATCATATGCTTCCAATTATTATCTTTTGTGCTCCCACTCTCGGTTCGGCCACAAATCCCAATTTCGTTTCGAATTTCCCGATTAGTTTTATCGGGGAGTTTTTATTTGGCTATAGGGGCGGGTCGCATGGAACGATTAAAAATTCAAATATTAATCTGGACAGCCGGCACACGTATGAACTGTTTGCATTCCATTAAAATATACGCGGAAAACATTTAACCACACGTTTTCAATTACCATCACAAACAAGTGAATGCCGGAGCTTAGAATATTCGGGCACTATGCGGGTTCTATAAGGCATCCCCTCGCGAATAGGAGTAGATGAAAATCGGATACATTCGCCTTTAATCGGCTAATCATTTTATTAGACCTTTAAATGTTATCCCCCAGTTTGTGATGCGCCTGTTACAAGAAAATTGTAATGGATACGATGGTGCGGAGGGCGTTTATTCCACAAGGGCCAAGGAGGGTGAATCGACTGAGTTAATTGAGTGTGTCGGTGAATTATCCTAATTTTAGAGGATGTAAGCAAGAAATAGGGGACGGCTAAATTCATAGAAATGAACTTAAGCTAACATTTGTGTGTGTAATTTTATGAATATTTTTTTTCCTCTATGTGGGAACAAAACAGTTGCCAACATTTTCCTTCCAATTATAGAAACTATGGATACTTTCACTATTAAAGAGCTAGAAGAAACATTCAATTAGGGCCTTTTGTTTTATTCAGCTTTATACCTCGTGGGAGTGTCAGCACAACAGCTGAAAATATGGCTGACAAATAAGAGACAATAAAAGACTGGTTAACTAGCGATTAATAATTTATCGGTTTGAACGATTGAAAGCGAGCCATTAATGGCGGCCAGTTGGCGGCCAGTATGCAAATTAATGATTGGCTAATTGTTATATACGGCGGGTTTATTAATGGCGGACCAACGAGTGAATGCCCCCTTGATATCGTCGCGTCTAGCGTGCTCCGATGGTCATAGTTTATGTTGTTCTTCGGGGTATGAATGGGCGGCAAGAATATATGCCGGTGGAAGCAGCCTGATACTATTAAATATTAATTTATTTTGTTATCTTAATATCTTGGAAGCTTTGAGGCATTTTCTGGAGACGTCGTTAATTTTATAACATATTGTTCGTCGATTTTTAACTGATACTTGTGGTATGAAGAGCGAGGGGGTGTTTCATATGGCAAAAACAGGTGTGACGTCAGGTAACCATTGACGTTCTAATGTAGGGAGCCACCAGCTCACATTCCGTCCGAGTATCAGATTAAAATCGACGAACAATACATAGAATAGTGCTTACTCAGCATAGTTCGGAGGCCAGGATTCATGGGAACCCCCTATTTGACCTCAAATTCATTTATTTAAATTCGTAAAATAATGGCTTTCGCGCGGCACGTGACCACATTGGAGGTATTTGGAGGTAACATAACCTAAAAATTTGTGTATTTTTGAAATTTCGCCTTCTAGCCCTCCTGAAAAATTGTTTCTAATTGAAATATAATTCACTTCCTAGGATAGTATATGTAGACTAGGGTCAAAATACCCTTGTATTGTGCCGTTGTAGGATGTAAAAACAATGCCGCCGAATATACAGTATGAACGTAAATAAATGGGTGTATAAACTAATAAACAACAAATCAAACAAAAATTAAGAAAACACCGAAAAAATATCAAAAGAAGAAAGCATGACACTCCAATTCCATATAAACAAATGAGAGGTTAAGTTGTCTTACCTCCAGTGTCAATTTAGTGACGTCACGTGCACGAAATCAATCAGTGTCATTAAATAACAGTGCGTTAGAATTTAGTGGCATCCACACGTTAATTGAAATTGATGAAAAATTTTCTTGCCTCGATTAGGACTTGAACCCAGGACCCTCGCATATCCAGTGCAATGCTCTAACCAACTGAGCTACCGAGACCTCTCTCTTTTCTACCTTGTCGGTCAAGTCTTTCATCAATTTTAAGTTGTTAGTATAGCGTAGTGAATTCTATCACAAATAATAGCACTAACAAATTGAGATTCTTGTTCATCACAGGAGAACCAGAAAATCTGTTGTTGTGTAGGAATACTGAGTTTCTTTAAATTGAATTGTATCTATAGGTTGTGTTTTTTATATAAATACAAATACGCTGTAGGAACGCCATAAGTCACAAATTGTAAAATCAAAAATGGTTTGATTGAAACTACGCAATGGATAAATACATTGTATCGGGTAAATCGCTGCCTGGATAGGTTCGCAAGTTGAACGTAACGCGGTCCTATAAAACGGTTCTTGTGAGCAGTAATTTACGAATTCAAATCGCTCTAATGAGGAAACTTAAGACCTTGTCCGAAGGCTTATACTTTTTAAATATACGCTCGAAAAAGACGTACTCAATAATTTCACTCAAATGAAACCTCATCATGAATTTGAATTGAAATATTACTTCCAGGTTATTAAAGGTGATCCATATAAAAAACCGCTCTGACACTTTGTCAAAGCCTCGAGACGAGGAACATTTTCACAGTTTCTCTATAAATTGTTGAAATACGAACATAAACTAGTCCAAATTAAACTGGCATAAACTACATTCGTGATGGAATATTAATGATCTGGCACTTGTAATTAAATTATCTCATCACTCGTTTTTACATTTATTTAACGAAATCTTCTTTTGTTTCAGGTGAAAGTCTGGTTTCAAAATCGTAGGACCAAGCACAAACGAATGCAGCAAGAAGAAGAGGCGAAAACTAGTCAGGGCGGTAACAAATCGAATAATTCCGATTCGCAGAATTCCCAAATGAACAAATGGAAACAAGAAGCACCAGACGAATATGGTGAATACATAGACATGGACATGGAAGATGATTGTGTTAGCGATGTTGAGAGTGAATCGTAGGAACCAGTTTAGTGACTTTGGTCATATAATTGATAAGGTTCAACCCCCCCTTTTCTGTAAGTCCATGATGAAATACTTATGGAAGTTTAAGGTACCCAGAGTTTATGTAGTGAACATATTCAGCTTCATAAACAGCGGAATAATGTTATTTTTCCAAACCAACATGTTTTTGGGAAAAGTACAAAGCCTGAGGTTATATCAACCCCAGATCTATAATTACGTTTACATTGATCAAGTAATCGTTAGAATATTCTGGCTATCATGAAGTGTAGGCTAAAATCTTTTTATTATTGACAAATTATATTTGAATTATTTCCAAGCAGTCCGCAGGATCAATTTTAAAAGCAACTCACTTAAAATGGATCCCGGCATCCATCAGATAATGAGCCTGCGGATAACAGCCCCTGCAACCCCCCAAAGCATTAGCAAATCTGGCAACAGCCGCAGTTAAAGTTTACATCCCCCCAAGGACTACTCCATTTGCCGAGCGTTTATAGCCGGCTCTGCCAGATTTATCGATCCAAAGAATTACTTCTGCCCGAACTTTTTGCTGCTTTTAGTCTTTTAGCAGTTTCTCAAGAGAAACGAATTTCGGCTGATTTATAAAATAGTATATTTTCGTTTGGACAAAAAAGGTGGAATCTGTCTGCTGTAAGATTTATATCGATTTATAATGGGGGTAATTCGAGGGGTTTTGTTAAAGTTTTTACTTACATAGTCAACTAACACCCTTACAGGTAATAATTTACTATGGCAATTCTTGTTTGATAAAGATCGATACACAATCAAGATTTTTTTAATACCGGATGGTTGAAATTATTAATCACGTTCTATTATAAAATTACGCGTCTGCTGATATTATCAATCAAACTACATATTATTGGAATAAAATTGCCTGATAATGACTATAAGAGCCTAAAAAATTGGTATGGCGACACAACGACGTCTTATGTATGTTTGGCTTCCTGTAATAAGTATATCTAATCATTGGATACCTATGTTCTGAATTAATTCAATAATTATTTCTTTGTGAACTGACTGTATTTGCCCCTTCCTTCCTCATTACAGAAAGAAGATGCCAACTATGTTCAGTTTTTTCGTTGTTCCAATTGGCTGAATACAACTACACTTTTTGCTCATTTGTTAAAAAGGAGGTTATTATAAATGCCATTTTCATAAGTTATTTCATCATGGACACTAAGTAAGGTAAATTCCTCTGAGAAAAAAATCCGAATCGTCCCTTTTTAGTGATACTATGTTGGTCAGTTTTTCTAGTGCCAATACTTACGCCAAAACACGTGTGTATTTCCCTTGTGCCAATTTCTGCAATTTAATCGTGTAAAGACGGTACTGTAGGTATGTTTTATTTTTCCTAATAAATTTCTTTTATTTATTTGTACATAGAACAATTTGTAAATAAATTATGTATATTGTAGATGTGTATGGTTCGGTAATTAGGTGATTGTTAATTAAAACTTCACCAAACACACCTTATCTTTGAATAAAACCAAGCCTGAAATGGTGTGAATAATAAAACATAACAAAAATTATATATATTTTTTTTTGACTATGCTGATTTTGACTTTAGAAAGATGTTTTATACATATAATAAAACTTAATTATTTATTTCTGTGATGACTGTACATATTTTTTTGTTGTTATTATTATTATTATTTCGGATGTATGTATGTGAACATATCGTTTGTATTATAATGTATAATAATTGTAATTGTGAATTTTTTAGATATTATACATTTTTAGCTTCAAGCCACAACAAAAATAATTTCATTGAAAATGTTTCTCTATCAAAATGTTGATTTCATACATAATAATGCTTAGACTAACTCAATACTGAATATTTATAAATACCTCATGGTGAGAGTGATCGAACTTATTAAAAAGTGATTGTTTTAATGATAGAAATACAAATTTTCTGAAATGAGAGCCGATATAAAATTCCGAAAATGCTCAATTTTGTACAAATACTTTTTGGCATTTTTTTTTCAAATGTACCTACTTGAATCTAATTATGATTGTTCGACCCAGTGATCATGTTTTGAAACCAGTTTTATGGTGTTCTTTACTTAGTAGTTTTAAGCGAACCACCTATTATAAATAAAAGTAGTAGTTAATGTTTGTAAAGAGTACAAAAAATACAAAGTAATTTTTAGTAACTAATGGTGTTTTATTCTCAAGTTCCCATGTCCCACATTGGTTACAGCGATTGGGTGATTATTATGGCTGCTTTATGGTGGGTACTTTATTCATGTTTTCAAAATAAAGTAAGTTAATGGAAAACGTTTAGTGTAGATAGTCTCACCTTCTTAGCTTTAATGGTTTTATCATGAAGAAAAAGTTCAATCACCACGAAAATTACACGTAGGTGCCTATTGAGAACAATTGAAATTATTAAACTCCGTAACGATCATGGAAAGGGTTTGATTTAAATTAAGGTTAATGATTGTCTTGGAAACAATGAACTCTAAACTACACGTACCTACCTAGAATGGTCGCGCCGATCTAAAATTGAGGCAAATTGAGACGGAGAATGTGGGGGATACCTATGTATATATATTTATTTTTTTGGCCAATTATGGAAATCCCTCCTTGTCTAGAAAATATTATATTCGAGGTTAGGAATAGGTAGGTATACCAAACCTAACAGCAATGAACTAGAGAGAGAAAGGTAGCCCCTATTATATAGCTATCTTTGGACACACTAAGAGAGAGACAAATGCCATATCAAACAACGGTCGCATCCATTCCAGTTACGTGTAGTATACCTATATAGTTAATTGCTTGCAAATATGTTAAAAACAAGATTAAACCTTCTTTACCAGTCATGGCTAGTAGATTATGCGAATATGTACCTTCGATTAGAGGTATAACAGACAGGACCTAGTAGACACATAGGATTCAATGGAACCATTTTACTGATACCCATTTTCACTTCAGGATCGTCACGGTGGATCATTGATCGTCCTTGCATGTTATTAAAATTCCTGTATCTTCGGCAGCTCGTCTATACTCGGCTTCGGCAGCACCGCTTCGATTCGTCTAAACTGGGTACAAGCTAATTCGTCTTATTACTCCCTATGTGTCTAGTAGTTGGTCCAATCTGTATATTCCGAGGTCGGTATTTTCTCGTATTCAGTGATTTAATGCATGCGGTTACCGGAAGAAAGGTCTCTAGAGTGCATAACTTTAATAGATGTTAGCAGGGATATCGTCCAGGATCATTTGCTACATAGAAATCTGTGAATTAAGATAAACATTATATTTTTTTTCGGATCGAAGCATTTAAAAATCTATAGAAAAACTATTTTTTAGTTTATTAGGTTTGTGTTGATTCTAAGTTTTATCATCTCTTATGTTTCTCTAGGTTTACGCCATATTTGCATAATATGTAATATTTCTATTTTGCACTTTAACAACTCCCTTTTTTTGATTTACTCAAACATAAATTGCAGAAATCTCTTTGAATTTTTCCAACTTCTCGGTCGGTGACCACTTATGGGTGTAAGTTCACCAGAACCTTTTCCTTTTTACCTTATTAGGCATTCCAGGTCACGTGACCTTGACAAGGTCCGCCATATTTGCTGAGGGGCAAACAAAGCCTATAGATCATATTGTTTACAGGGTTTTTTGAGTTTGTGCTTCGGAATTTTTGCGTTTTTTGATTTGTTCAATAAGTTTTAAGTTGTTTTTAGTTTTTGTGAATGAATGGAATGAATGAATGAATCTTTATTTACAGACATGCCACTTTACATTTCAACTCAACAATAGTAAACAAACAATTTATTAACAAAAATAATACTTAAGAATCTAAATTGTTTAAAAAATAAAAAAGTTAGATACCAACAACCTTACAAATAAACTTTAGCAAAATAAATTTGTGGGAAGAATGACTCCTTAAACGTTTTGACTGTTCTGATCGGTGCACAGATCTGGCATGTAGCTTAGCTTACTGGCTTGTTCATTCTGGGCTTTTAGGTATCTATTATCGTAGTATATCCTAAATTTGTACTGGGGACCCAATCCGGATTGTTTGTATCCTTAAATTCTGCTGGACTACCTAAAAGGTATTAAAAGTTACCTACTTGCAGAAACATAAACAGCTTTTTTGATATACCGAGATGAAGTGTTTTTGTATTTTAACAACAAGAAAGTCATAAAACTTACCATTAACAAAATGTTTCGAACAAATTCGAGCATTTTCAACAACGTTACAGTCAAATCTCCCCTTTTGAGGCATCTAGTTCACATACTCCGTTGTTTTTTTGATAGCTCGTTTATGCGATCCCCTTGATCTTTGAATGCTGCTGGAATCCTAAAAAACCTCACTTTATCCCTTTCAGCTCTATTGGAGCACCCAAAAACGCCACAAAACGAAGGCATCTTCACAAAATAATACTTCAAAAATTCTCGGTTTGCATTGAAAATAATACTAAATCAGGTTATGTTTGGCTTGTGTTTGCCCCTAAGCTAAAATGGCGGATCGGTTATGACGTCAACCTGGAATGCCTAATAACAAAAAGCAACTGCACTGCAAATAAATACAATAAAATATTGGCAAACACGTTCGTGATTCAAACTAGTTGCGTTTGCGTTCGGTTTAATGATCTAATGGTCTTTAAGAAGCTGAAAAATCTGACTGATTAGACTAGTTTCTACTTACTTGCTTTTACGCTTTCTATAATCGCTAGTAGCTGTGCTCGAAGTTTGTGAGTTTTTCTTTCATGTTTGGGGGAGTCGTACCTGTCGTCTGATGTTATTTTGAGATTGAGTCATTTTGTTGGGAGGATTTCGTGGTAACGGTAACACATCAAACTGCAGAGTGGTGCTGTTTGATGCGTTTCGGAGCACTTTACATACATATTTGAATTCAGGAACTTTTTCGAAATTTACTGCACGAGTTGAATAGGTACATACTTTTAATTTGCTCTGTAACTTTTTTTCGTGAAAAAAAATTTGTCGACTTAATCTATCCAACGTTATGA